GAAGCAGATGACTTGAATTGAGATATGCAGATTAGCAAAAGGCAACAAAAATTTTGGTAAGCAACCCCACCAGCTCAAAAGCTCAACAAGCACCTCGAGGTTCGTTGAAATCCATGCTACTTCCCACTGGTCATCGTGCCACTTAAGTTGGGCACATACTCTTAGAACTTAATTTAGCATTTTTCTATGTCACAACGTTTATTAGATTTTCTAATCATTAGTGGGATCAAATTGATGTTCATTTTCGATAAGAAAAGTCGAAGGAGCGGGATGGAAAATTTCTCAAATGTACGAATTTCACAGAGTGCGTGTGGTTTTTGTTCGGTCAAGTCCATACATTCAAAAATAAAATGTTAAAGTAAACAAAATCTTTCAAAATGACATTCAAATGTTCTGAGAATTTTTGTACAGATTTTCGTTTGAAATGCCACTAGTGTACACCCAGCTTTAGTCTGGTTTCTAAATCTGTCTGCAAAATGACCTGTTGCACGGAGGTGGAGTGGTGGGTATGTGCACCAGGTTCAATGCAGAGGTCTTTTGGAAGTACCTCATTCAGAGTAGACAGCTCCTAAAAACACACACACACACACACACACACACACACACACACACACACACACACACACACACACACTTTAGGACATTTGAGAATGCTATAAAACTCTCTTGCCAAACAGCACATTAAAAGGTTGGTGACCTGACTTTTCAGCACTGCGGTAAAATACAGCTCAAGAACCAATTGGCTCTTGGAAAGTCTCTTACCTCTCCTACTCTAAGTGCTAGTGTAGAGGATCAGAAGAGATAAAGTTAGACTCAAGAGCTTACATTTAAAACACATATCTACATTAAAATCGCATTTAACAAGCACAGAGCAGGCAAGTATAACTTTTAAAAAAAATAAACAAACAAGTCTTTAAAAAGGATAAGGTCATCTTTGGGAATATGTTTCACGTTCCACCCGTTTTTAGGGTGTAACATGTTCCCACAGCCACCGTCGACCATTATATCTGTCAAATTTAAAAAACAGCGCAGTCATACGGGGCTCCGCCCACACAGCCGCGTCATTCATTCACAGACTGCTGTGAATGAATGAACTGCAAGTCTTGACAGCCTTAGCATCTGTGGGCTTATAGTTTTCAATGAACTACCATGGCACTGTAGCGAGCCGTTGTAGTCAATTGAAGCTTCCTGTCAGATTATATGCTTGCTCGTACATCTAGCGATCTACTGATCGCTGGTACAATGCTTTCCTGTAGACAATAAATGCACATTTTTTTACCTGCAAAAAAATGTGCAGTTATTTTTTGTCTAAAAAGGTGAACTTGTCCTTTAATATCACCAAGAAAAATAAAGTAGAAGACACACACACACACACACACACACACACACACTCTGACTAATTGTGATGCCAAAAACATACCAAACAATAGATTTTGGGTTTACAGCAGGGTGGATAAAAATCAATGATTTAAAAAAAAAAAAAAAAAAATCAAATAAATTGGATTTTTTTTTATTTAAATCGGATTTTTTTGACTAAAAAATGCTTTTTGAGGAAAATATATTACCATCCAAAGGTTATTCCATCATGACATAAAGATTAGTTTTTTAATTATGTAGAATAAGGCTGTATATGTTTAATTTTTTTGGTAAATAAATTCCATGAATCCATTCACAATGTCATGCTCTTCCAGAGGTTTTTGTAAGATTATTGGGCAGTTTCTCTGCCTACAAGATATTATCACAGATGTTGGTTTACTTTTGCAGTTCTCAAAACTGAATTTGACTCAGCGGAGATCACATGCCTCTTCTTCACAGCAAAAATGTTATAACATGAACAGAGTTAAGAAAAAGACCTTCATCCTAACCTCTACAAACCTATGAATACAGAATCAACCCCTTCACTGCTAAGTTTCAAGAAGTTCAGTGAATAGAATAGAAACAATATTTTTCTGATTGTTTGGAGTGGAATAGATCTGCACAAGAAGAAAGTGAAACTAAGTGTGAGGAGGAAGGGGCTGACAGTCTAAGTTTCTTAAAATATATATATATTCTGTTTAGCCAAATTAGTTACCAAACATGGATGTTTAAGCAAATCACATATGCTGGAATGTTATTGTTTCAGATGAATAAATCTATTTAAATTGTTATTATTAAGGTAATGAATATTCTTCTCCTTCCGAAGTACAACAGAAAAGTTGTCCAAATATGAATGATTAACCTATTAAACTGGGGATAAAAAAAACTAATATGAAAAGTTGTTATTCTAAAAATCTTCATCTACTTGTATATTAAAGTTATACCAGCAAGAATTAGTCTTTATGTAGAAAACCAGGATTTATATCAAGCCTTACTGACTAGTGATTCAAATCGTGATTTAAATCAGTTTGATATAAATCAAATCCACCCTGGTTTACAGACACTTTACCTTCACAACAAATCTGTCTGCTCCTCTTGGGCAAAGAGTATACATTTCCCTTAGGAATTTTGCTTTGTCGTTCCTCTAAACCAGCAACCAGCCGGTCTGTCTGTCTGTCTCCCACACGGCAGATGAGTAAAGCAAGTTGCATTTCATTATTTGCCCCCAGCACCCTGCGTTCCCAATAGTCAGTCAGGTAATTGTCACACTGCAGAGGTGTACAACAAGCCAGACAATGAGACCTGCCTCTGGCTTACTGTGATTCATTTATGCGAAGGATGAAACTTGTGAGCATCACAATCCGGAGAGATTTAAAACCTCCGTAAAGATAGACAGCAGCAATATGCTAGAGTTCAACTGGATTCGCTAAAAGCTAAAGCAGAACTGCAGGCAAACCGCTTAAAATACAAACGTGGATCCTGTTTACACTGACAAAGGATTTGTCGTTATTCTGTTGAGCAAGTCATACCCCCCCCCCCCCCCCCACACACACACACTGCACAGCCATGCAGATGACAACATTGTTGCCTGCATCAACTTTGCAGCTCCTGGTTACCCCTTCATCTACATAACTAGTGGAGCACTATCCACCCAAATATACAAACAGTTGTATTAAGTGACAGTTTTTTCATAATTTTATTTTGTTGCATGGCAACACAGGTTGATTTTTAGTTATTTTATCTCTGCCTACAGCCTGCTCATTGGGCAAAACATGATCCTCAGCGATGGGTCAGGTAATAATAATGCAGAAGGAAACAGCGATGATTTACGTGTAGCGTGCAAATGACCCTGCTGGCATTACAACCTTTTAGGCAGTTAAAAGGTTAAACTGGTTCTAAAGCCTGAAGGGTTTTTTTTTTTTTTTTTAATCTGAAAGTGGTTATAAACCTCAGACATGAAATATGAACAAAGCATATCCCTATATAATGTGTACTTGTCTCAATCCAGAGCACTAAGTGTCATTTCTGTCTGCTGCTTTGTTCCTCTACTGTCAGCCGGAGTCACGTTTGACAAGTTTTCCTGACACCAAGGGTAAAATGGTGACAGGGGAGGGACCTCCAGCAGATTGGCAGTCTCAGCTCTGTTCCTGTGAGCTGTGTGAAAGGGGGGGGGGGGTCCCTTCCCTCCAATCAGCTATCGGAGCTTTCTTCACTGAGCTCTGCAAAGTGCAATTGCATCTCTCCACCTCCTTTTTTCTGAGCCCTCAGACCAGCTTTATAAATTCTGCACTTTGAACAGCTGTAGAGAAGAGAAGACTGCAGACTAAACAAGGTTCAACTTATGAAGAGGGATTTGTTTCATCTCTGTATCACCTGAAGATATTCCCTGTACTTGGTATATGTAAGGGTTTAGAACCACTTTAATCCATTCTATGCATTAGGGTAAAAAAAAAAAAAAAACTTCCATTATCAGCCCCCCCCCCCCCCCATCATTTTCTGGCTCCTCTTTCAATCCAGCATCACTGCTCTCTCACCCTCTCACAGGCACAAAGGCAGCAGCAGGAGTCACTGACTGCTGCTGCTGTCAATCACAATCCTGTGAGAAGGACGCAGGGGCGGGGCCGAGGCGCACTGTGCGTATCTATAGACACAGCTCAGCATCAAGTCGGCACCATCTGGGGGACAGACACAGAACAGAAGGGACCAACAGCGCTGGCAGGGGACCCCAGAAGGAGGAGGATCGGCACTGCTCTGTGCAAAATCACTGCACACTGCAGGTAAGTATAACAAGTTTGTTATTTTAAGAATAAAAAGCTGAGCCTTTACAACTGCTTTAACGTGTATTTGGACCATTTAGCTCGGTGGTCAGCATTCTGCTTTAAAGGACCCATTCACACTTTGTGTAACAGGAATGAGTGTTCCCACTCACTTTTTGCATGTTTTTCACACGTCATGGATAGGGCTGTCCATTCCCTGGAATGGCTTGCCCTATGCATGACAAAAAAAAAAAAGCCAAAATAGCTCATGTACCAAATTTTGGCACTAAGCCAGGCACATTTGTAGCACATGTTTTGTCACAGCGCATTAGGGAAGCGAATAAGAAATAGCTCCGAAGGCATGTTTTGCCGCATTTCTGAAAACGTGGGAAGAAACGCATGATTCTGTCTATGTTTTCAGAGCAAAATGTGAACGCAGCCTTAGAAGATCCACTCGGACTCGAACCGGTGACAAATTCCAATCATTCTGCAGGTTAAAGGATCGCTCGCTCCAGGACACATGAGCGGTGTTGATCAATGCACCCTCAATACAAGGACACAAGACAATAGTCGTCCATGTGCCTTGTACACACTGTATAGGTGTGTGGTACAACCGGTTACAAACACAGCAGCACGTTGCAACATGCCATTGTGAATGAATGACGGCTTTACTAAACGTTCAATACATTTCAAAAAAGAAAAACAAACAGAGCAACACACACCAGTAGGAGTGCATTATGCACAGCATAGTAATAAAAATGAAATACAATTAAAAAATGTATAATATATTAAATAAAAATAATAGACCAACAACAACATTTCCCTTAAACTGCTGACTGTTTCTGGGTTGAAAACACACAGGAGTTAATAAAGTGTTACTAAACCCAGGACCCCTCACATTCACTATATCTGGTCCCCCACAGTGCACAGAAATGCAATTATTTTAGTAAATATAAACTGCTAAATATATTTTCTCATCAGCAGTTAGAGCAGTCTTGTGACTTCTATCAGTGTCCAGCCGAGCACTGGTTAAAGCTTGTAGGAGTTTTCAATCTGCTCTAGGAGGATGCAGAACCCCGGACCCCTGTCTGGACAGCATTGATTGGCTCTCCCAAGGGAAAAAAAAAAAAAAACCTCTTTAGCAATACACACCAAACTGAGCATGTGCAGCGCTGAGCGAACTTTATAAATACTGTATAATAATAATAATGTGCAGAGTGACTCCACACGATATCTCAGGAGATAAGAGGGGTACACTAGAAGGGGAGGATAAGAGGGGTACACTAGAAGGGGAGGATCAGAGAAGTCAGACTCAAACCCCTTAGATTCCACAGTGAGTATAACCAGCATGCTTTACTGCATATACAGATTTTACTGTTGTGGATTTAATAACACTAACTAAAGGCTGATTGAAACTAGTGCTGGCCATATGGCCCACGTTTATGCGGGCACTGCAGCCCATTCATTTGAATGGGCTGCTGTGCCCACGTTTCACACAAGAAAAAAGTGCACGCACCTTTTCAAAAAACGCATCCACAGGGGAACCGAAGGGTTATTTTGGGCTCCATCATTGATATTATCAGGGAGGAATAGTGCCCCGTCGGTGTCAGAGGAATAGTTCCCCGTTCATTGGCGTCAGTCCGAGAAATAGTCCACCAAGGGCCAGATAAAGGCAAGCAAATGGCCATATCCAGCCACAGGCTGCAGTATGGAGACCACTGTACTTATGGATAGCCTTCTTTAAAGAAGTTGGGGTATTTTGCCTTTAGGAAGTCATTTTGGGAGTGGTTTAAATTTTTAAACAAAAAAACAGAAAAAAACCCACACTTTTTGGCTTTCAGTAAGTGAGGTTTGTGAGAAGTAGAGCAGATAGAGTTAAACTCCAAAGTAAGCGATACAAAATAATATAAATTGACGTTTTGCAACATTTTTGATTTTTTCCCCATTTTCCTGAAAGCTTGGAGCTGCTGCGCCAGTCTTCCTCTTTATATTATCCGTCAAACAGTAGGGAGGAACTCGCAGGAGGTAATTAGAGAATAAAGAGATACAAATTGGCTCATTTTTTATGATGACAAAGTTACTCTGTTAAAATGGAATGTCAACCTTTTTCTTATACATAGATTGGGAGTCTAAATGAATTCCCCAATTTTGCCACTTACTCTGAGAATCTAACTTGGGGGGTCAGCAACCTTTTCCAATTTAAGGGCTCATTCACACTTGGCTGTTTTACCAACGCTTGCCAAATGCCCCTATAGCGTTTGGCAAGCGCTGGTCCGGCGTTTGCGGAGTGTTTTTTTAACGCTCGGCAAACGTCGCATGCGCAGTTTAGAGGCGGTTGCTAGGCGTTTGCCGAGAGTTAATAACGCCCCACAAATGCCTATAATGCAGTTTGAGTGGTGTTACCGCCCCGCAAACGCCCGGCAACCACGTGGCAACCGGAGCAGCACCATAGACGAGAATAGGAGGCTTCAACGCCTCCTGACTCGACCAGAGGCGTCCGTTTTGCCGCAACGCGACACAAACGTTCCCATTAGAACAGCACCATGTGCTGTAATGTGCATAATTGGCAGAGGCGTTTGGGAAGCGGTAAAAACGCTTCCCAAATGCCTCTCTGCCGCCTGCACACAACGCTAGTGTGAACGTAGCCTAAGTGTCATGTTTAGGAAGCAATAGGCAACCAGTGTGCCAATACATAGTGTACCGAAATTTGTATTGCTGAAAAAAAGTTGAAAATATATAAAGTGGAACTTCAGCCCTCTGATCAGACCCAATCCCTGTACCGTTTAGAAACATAGGGTACTGCTGTCGGCATGCATGTCATTTACAGCCATCTGCAGCAGGTGCCGATGCAAACAGCATCACGCAATGGGGGTCGCCGACAGCTGACCCAAGTGCTTCACCTGCGGCACATTGTGCCGTTTTTACGGCTTGTTTGGTGTGCTCATAGTCACAGCCTATAAAGAGTTTGTGGCATTCCTGGATATTTTTGGAGAACCATCAACAAATCCATTCAAGAATATTTTAGTGAATTCCAATGAGGATGCGCAGAGATATGAGATACCTCTGCATTTCATTCTTACAAAACGATGACACCAAACAAAGTCAGTTGGTAAACTGTTAAAGGATGGCATATGTATAGCCAAGTTTGTTTTTTTAATAAAAGGCAGAAAGTCTTACCTTAAAGTGTTACTAAACCCACAACAGTACAATCAGTCTGTATATGCGCTAAAGCATGCTTGTTATACTCACTGTGGAACCTAAGGGGTTAATCATCTGCGTTGTGTAAAATGGCTGTTTGATCCTGTCTTCTCTGATCCTCCCCTTCTACTGTCCCCAATCCATCTGCTGATAGTACAGAGCTCTAGGAGTCACTCTGCACATGCTCAGTTTAGTGTATATTGCCAGAGCGTTTTTTTTCCCCCGTTTGATAGAGGGTACATGTGATCAGCACCATACAGAGGATCAGGGGTTATGCAGCCTCATAGGACAGTTAGAGGATTATGAAAACTCCTCCTACAAGCTTTAACCAGAGCTTAGCTGGACACCGATAGAAGTCAGAAGACTGCTACAATCCCTGGCAAAAAGTATGGATTCACCACACATTGTAAAATGTTCATTCAATTGTTTAACTGTAGAGAAAAAAACAACACAAAAACAAATCACAGACATGGCTCAAAACTATTTTAATTTAACATTCCAACCCTCTGGCTTAAGGAACACTTAAAAAAAAAAAAAAAAAAAAAAAAAAAACAAAAAAACTGTAGTCAGTCACTGTTTTTGCAGATCAAGGGAAAACAAAATATGGAATCCCTCAATTCTGAAGAAAATATTATGGAATCACCATGTACTTTGAAGTTTTAAAAACAAAACATCTGCATCAGATTACATCTACTAATTAGTCTGCAGTTAGAAAAAAAGAAGAGTGCTTGAACCCCTTGGTGAGCTGTTGCACCAAGCTGATTGACTTGAATCATGGCTCCAACAAGGAGAGACGTCAGCTGAAAGGAGAGGATTAAAAAACATCAAGAAGGTAAATCATCATGGAATGTTGCAAAAAATGTTGGTTGTTCACAGTCAGCTGTGTCTAAAATGTGAACCAAGTACAAATCAAAAGGAAAGGTTGTAAAAGGAAAGTGTACTAGTAGACCAAGAAAGACATCAAAGCGTCAAGAGAGAAAACAAAGCAATATGCCAGAAAATGCACAACAAAATAAATGAGGAACAAATGGGCAGAAACTGGAGTCCATGTCTGTGACCGAACTGACATCACCTAAAGGGAACGGCATTACATATAGAAAAGCCAAACGAAAACCATCAACACCTAAACAGAGAAAAACAAGGTTAGAGTGGGCTAAAGAAAAGCAATCACATGGACTGCGGATGACTGGAACAAAGTGATATTCAGTGATGAATCCCAAATCTCATTGGGCAGGGTGATGATGGAACTTTTGTTTGGTGCCGTTCCAATGAAAGGTGTAAAGGAGGACTGCCTGAAGAAAACATGCAAACTTCCACAATCATTGAGGATATTGGGTTGCATGTCAGGTAAAGGTACGGGGGAGACGACAGTCATTACATCTTCAATAAATGCACAGGTTTATATTGAGATTTTGGACACTTTTCTTATTCCATCAATTGAAAGAAGTTGGTGATCATTACTTTAGGATAATACATTATTATTATTATTATTATACAGGATTTATATAGCGCCAACAGTTTGCTCAGCGCTCTACAATATAAGGGAGACAGTACAATTACAATACATTTCAGTACAGAAGGAATAGGAGGGCCCGGCTCGTGGAGCTTACAATCTAAAGGAAGGGGGAGGTGATACAAAAAGGTGATAACTGCGGGGGATGATCTGGTGGAGGTGATTCAAGTACAGTTCTTAGGTGGAGGTGGGGTAGGCTTCCCTGAAGAAGTGAGTTTTCAAAGATCGCCTAAAGGCAGACAGGGTGGGGGCTGACCGGACATGCTGTGGTAGGGAGTTCCAGAGGATGGGAGAGGCTCTGGAGATGTCCTGGAGGCGAGCGTGGGAGGAGGTGATGAGGGACTAGAGAGGAGAAAATCATGGGAGGAGTGGAGTGGCCGATTTGGGCAGTATCTGTGCATGAGATTGGTGATGTAGCTGGGGGCAGTGTTGTGGAAGGCTTTGTAAGCTGTGGTTAGTATTTTGAATTTTATACGTTGGGTTAGTGGAAGCCAGTGGAGGGATTGGCAGAGAGGGGTGGCAGTCAATCGGTTGGTAAGGTGTATGAGTCTAGTAGCAGCATTCATAATAGACTGAAGGGGGGATAGCCTGTGTAACGGTAGACCAGTGAGGAGGGAGTTACAGTAATCGAGGCGAGATATAATCAAGGCGTGGATAAGTTGTTTTGTGGTGTCATTGGTCAGGAAGGGGCGGATTTTGGAGATGTTCCAGAGGTTGAAGAGGCAGGATTTAGCCAGTGAGTGGATGTGGGGCCCAAAGGAGAGGTCAGAGTCTAGGATTACGCCTAGCAAATACATCTTGCCGTAGGGCAAAAGCCGTGAAAACTTTCCTTCAAGAAAGACATCTAATGTCAATGGTATGGTCTGCAAATAGTCCGGACCTCAATCCGATAGAAAATCTAAGGTGGAACATAGATTGGCAAGGCTCCAACCTGCAAAGCTGATCTGGCAACTGCAAGAAGAGAAAGTTTGAGCCGGACTGAGGAATACAGTTTGTCTAATAGTTAAATCCATGCCTCAGAGAAACCAAGCTGTTATAAAAGCCAGAGGTGGTGCAACAAAGTACTAGTGGTGTTCTGGAGTGGTTTTTGTTTCATGATTCCAGAATATTTTCCTCAGAATTTAGTGACTCGAGATTTTTTCTCTCTGCTTGATCTGCAAAAACAGTTGCAACTGACTACAGTTTTCTTTTCTATTTTTTAAGTATTTCTTAAAGCCAGA